GGTGATTGCCATGAAGTTTGATGACCTGGGTTTGAGCCCTGGAACTCACACAATGGAAGGAGAGAACCAACTCTCCCAAGTGCTCCTCTGACTTTCACGTGCACGCAGTGGCATCCCACCCCCACACGATAGATAGATAGATAGATAGATAGATAGATAGATAATAAAATGTAATACAAAATTTAAAAAATCTCCATTCTAGGATGGGGCTGTAGCTGAGTGGTAGAGCAGCAGCATGCTAGCCTCCTGTGCGTGAGGTGCTATGTCCAGTATTCATTACTTCAGAGGAGAGTGAGTGAAAGAGTGCCCCAACCTTGTCCCTAGCGTGTTACCACTTCCAGTAACATTAGCTGCCTTTGTTTAACAGTGCCTCTGTGCACATTAAAAAACAAATCTCCATTTCATGACAGCAAGTCTTTTAACATCGCATCCTGAGAGCAGGGAGTGACCCCACCTTGGGCTGTGACATTGTAAGAGACCAGGAAAGGCAAAGGGCATCTATTGTTATTTCTGGCTGGAGGAGGAGGTTCTCACAGCACTTTGGTAGTGCTTGACCTCATGTGGAAAAATGCATTCCGTTTGGCCTCTAGATTCAGCAACTATTAAGCCTGTTATAGCCAGCTGTGTGTCTGTCAGAAGACTGAGAGCATCTGGTATAAGCAAGTTTTCCAGCCTAGGTCTTGTGTCTGGAGCACAGGCTCATCGGCTTCAAGCTGCCCAACCTGATCTTGGTACACCAGTTGCCACAGAGACAGAGAAGATGCCTTGCTTTGGGCTGGAGAGATGGCTCAGTGATTAAGAGCACTGACTGCTCTTCCAGAGGTCCTGAGTTCAATTCCACAGGCTGGCTTACAACCATCTATACTGGGATCTGATGCCCTCTTCTGGCATAAAGGTGTACATCCAGATAGAGCACTCATATACACAAAATAAATAAATAAATCTTTAAAAAGTTAACTTGTTCTTTGTGAAGCACAGACTGTTTAATAAATATTTGTTGAACAGAAATGGTGTTTCCATCACATGTCCTGCTCTGGCTGCCTCTGGGTTTAGGGTCATTTTTGCATACGACACAATGATCCATGTATCAGGGAGTGGTTTATGGAAATACTATGTTTTGTTCTATTTTTCCTCTATTTTCAAGAAAATGGCCTTGTGGCATGTTCACTTGTCTTATGAGAGCCTGTGATGGGTGGGAGTACTGCCCTTCACTGTGAAACACAGGGTTATAACACCGGCCCTTTTCCTCACCTGTGAAGTAGGCACATTTGGAGAGCCTGCTGGAGAACCCCAGGGTGCATGCCAGATTGAGGGCCCATTCAGTAAATTACTGTCTCCGAAAAGGTTCTCTGCCAAGGTGAGAATGTCAAGGAACATTCCAGATCACCTTTTGAGCCTTTTCACTCCGTGTCCAGCTCCTGTTTAGCTGAGGAGCAGCTGTGGTTCCTCCTGTGATAGATGGGAACGAGTTCTGGAACCTACTCTACTTTCTGCTCCACCAACTCCTTGTGCATCTCACTTTACTAGTTGATCTTTACCAGGGTCACTGGCAGGCCAGGAAGGATGGGAAATCTGGTTAAAAGAGATCTGCCACAGAATAGAGGTTGAATCTCACAAGTCATGTTGTCACAACTTTACAGCTGCAGGATAGACAAATGGGTTTGGAGAACTAAACAGACTCTACTAACAATGACATTTCAAATCAGGGAAGAATAGACTATTCAAGTACATGCCATGGGAGCGGCTAATGAGCCATTTGGATCCAAATAAATTATCTACATGTCACAACACACTAGCAATAAAACCAGATAAATTAACTGTCCTATGCATGCTACAAGAGAAAATCTTACTTTGTCTTATATCTGTGAACCCAACTAGCTATAACTGGCCTGGAAAAATATGTCCACAGGTGCAATAGTGACATGTATGTTATAGGACTAACCAACCAATTTCCAATTTTTAAAACCTTTTAATTTATTTATTGATATATATGCATGTTTAACTTGCATTTATGTATTTGCACTATGTGCATCCTGGTGTCTGTGGATGCCAGAAAAGGGCCTGCCTCTGCCTTCTGAGTGTTGGTATTAAAGGTGAGTGCCACCACTGCCCGGCTAAGGTATTCCTTTAAAAAGTATGTGTGTATGATTATTTACAAATTAATACATTTAAGTATTGATTTCTAGTTTAGTAAGCAATGATGAATAAAACATAAAATTTCTTTGGATTCTTCAACCAAATGTTTTTCATCTTATTTTATGTGTATGGGTATTTTGCTTTCATGTATGTTTGTAAATCTTGTGAATACAGTGTCCTCTGATGCCAGAAGGGGGCACCAGATTCCATGGAACTGGGGTTAAGTATGATTGTGAGCCACCATGGGGAGGTTGGGAATTAAAGCTGGGTCCTCTGGAATACCAGCCAGTGTTTTTAACCACTGAGACATCACTCCAGCCCCACGGATTCTTGAAACAAATTTTAGGATCATAAACAAGTTCTAAGTTAAAAACAGAGATCTGCCTGCCTCTGCCTCCCAAGTGCTGGGATTAAAGGTGTGCGACACCAACGCCCAGCTCAAAAACTTTTGAATCAGTATTTTACAGCAATTTATGTGTATGCCTCTACTTAAATTTGCAAACACTATTAAGATACATGTTCAGGTTCTGCCCTCTGCTTGAGAGCCTTTATCCAGTAGCTGATCGAAACAGAAGCAGGTACCCATAGCTGAGCACTGAACCATACTCCTGGAATCCAATTGCAGAGAGGGAGGAGGGATGAGCAAAGGAGCCAAGATGGTGCTGGAGAATCCTGCAGAAACAGTTGATCTGACCTAATGAGAGCATGGAGACCCTGGTCATTAAGCTGGGGAACCAGCATTGGACCAAACCAAGCCCTCTGAATGTGGGGAGTGTGTTGGAGGGGTTTGGTGGGGAACATGGGAGGATGGGAGGATGAGGGAATGGGGGGATGGATATGTAAATATGAATGCCTCTAAAAGTAAAATAAAAAAGGAAAAAACAAAACAAAACCTTATGAAATGAATAAACACAATGTGTCACTTTTCTTGGGGCCATTTGTTTATTAAATGTTAATGAATAAAGGTTAAAATTTATGATTTAAAAAAAAAAGATTCATGTTCAGGCTGGGGATGTGCCTTAGCACTTGCCTAGCAAGCTCAAGACCCTGAGTTTGATCCCCTAGGCCACAAGGAAACAAAAACAAAGTAAGTATTTTGCTTTGTGTGGTGGCATATGCCCTTACTCGTAGCACTTGGGAGGCAAAGACAGGCAGATTTCTGTGAATTTGAGACAGGTTGATCTACACAGCAAGTTCCAGGCCAGCCAGGGCTGCATAGTGAGACACTGCTTTTTTTTTTTAAAGTGTATTAATTTGTAGATGGTAGTCTCCTAGAAATGCAATTCAGCAACAAAAAAGTTTTTATTTATTTTTTTCTAGACAGGATTGCATGGTGCCCAAGTTGGCTGTGAACTGGCTATGTAGATGAGTAAGTAAACCTTTAATTTCTGGTTGTTTCCAACTTCCTAGTGCTTGGTTCACAGGCATGGGTCACCATACGCAATTTATGCAGCACTCAGGGCCTTCTGCACATTAGTCACACACTCTACCAATAAAAAGAACATGACTGATCCTAGGTATGGTTTATTGGAGGAGAAGGTTTATTGTAGATATGATGGAGAGCACAGCCAGAGGCAGAAGCATCTGGGAGAGTTCAGAGTGGATGTAGTCAGATTTTTCTTTGGGCTGCCAGTTCACAAATAAAGACACAGAGACTTATTATTAATTATGAAACCTTGGCCTTAGCTTAGGCTTGTCCTACTAGCTCTTATAACTCAAATTAACCTGCTTTTATTATCTACATTTTACAATGTGGCCTTTTATCTTTCTTTCATTCTATATGTTCAATCGCCTGTTGGCATCTCACCTGCCCTTCAGTCATCTCCTCCCACTTCTATCTCTGCTTGGAAATCCCACCGATGCCTCCTGCCTAGCTATTGGCCATTCAGCTCTTTATTAAACCAATCAGAGCAATATATCTTCATATAGTGTATAAATGTCCCCCAACAAGTAGACATGACTGGTATACTGAACAGGCCATGTGAGGAGAGGGAGGGGAGAGGAAGTTGTATTAACTGGAGTCAATAGGCCAGGAGACTTAAGAGGCCAAAAGGGCAAAAATGACTTTGTAACTAAAATGGCTGGGTTATACAGGAATCAGAGAAGCAGGAGGAAGGGAAAGCCCAGTCGATACAGTAGGGGGCTGGGTATGGCAGCCAGGAGGACTCTGTAACAGGAAAGGGCTGAGGGAGACTGGTGGCCAGAGTCTGCTTTGATGTGTTAATAGGCACCTTAGTCATTTGCCTGGGGTTTGAGATCTAACATGTGTCCCTAGTCTTTATTTATTTGGTTGATTGAGACAGGGTTTTACTCTGTAGCCCTGGTTGGCCTAGAATTTGGATGCTCGGATTACAGGCATGAACCACCACATCTGGGCAATTTTACACAAATGTTTTCTTTAAATGTCTATATTCAGAGTCTCAGAATGACCTTTGAACCAGCTTTACACTGATTTATACTTTGACAAACACTTATTGTGAATAACATGTGTATACACGCACATACACATACATGCAGATACAGATGATATATACATTTTACAATGCCAAACTCTTTTTTTTCCTTCATTGAGCTTTTCACACTTTTCTTAACCTTTCAAGTCACCTTGAATTTCTTCTGGTGCAACCTTCTACGTCTTATTCATAGTTTTGTTATTAATATAAATTCTATACAAACCTATAATATTCCTTCCCTTTTCTCTGGTTCAAAACCAAAACGTGGCTGCCTTGGCTTTAAGAAGGTACTCCGGATACCTAGGCAGGAATTCAATCTATAAAGAAGAAAGGCTCCCAGACCACGTGATAACATTGCCCGTGCACACGTCATGTTGCCGTCACCCAATGCTTCCGCCCTCTTCAAACATGGCTGGTAAGCTCCCTCCGCACCGCAACTATGGCTGCTCTTGCATGTAGTACCCATACTGAGTACATGCCAGTCTCTATTAGGCAGATATCGCGGCGGAGGAGATACAGCAGGACAACAAGGAGGACAATAGGTTACCACCAGCAATAACAAGCGCGGACCGGAAGTTCCGCGTCCTCGTTGTCCGGGGGAGCCGTTAGGCACGCACGCCGGAAGTGGCCAATCGGCCAGTGTGAGGCGGTGCCCACTGTGTTCGCGTCCCTCGGGCAGCGGAGCCATGGAGCCCGGGGCTGCTGAGCTTTATGACCAGGCCCTGCTGGGCATCCTGCAGCACGTGGGCAATGTCCAGGACTTTCTGCGCGTGCTCTTCGGCTTTCTCTATCGCAAGACCGACTTTTACCGTCTGCTTCGCCATCCTTCGGACCGCATGGGCTTCCCGCCCGGGGCCGCCCAGGCCCTAGTGTTGCAGGTGAGGTGGGGAGCGAAGGGCCATTGGGGTCCTGCAGAACCTTATTCTAGTTCTACTTCCCGGCGCCAGTTCTGCCCCTGGTTTGCGTCCTACGCCTCTGACCAGCGCCACTCCTCATCCCAACCCTTCAGATTTTGCGGTTCTCTCTGAGGTGCCAAAGGTGATTTTGTGTAAATGGTCAGGCATTATCTGAAGCGCGAATCAGTTGTCAGCGATGCGCGCTGCTTTGGGAACAGCCTAGGTTTATGAGGGACATTTTTAGGTGTTGGAAGCTGCCAGCCTGCCTTTGAGGGCCTCTCAGCATCCTGTGGTCATCCCAAGTACGGTGCAGGGGTTTTTGCTAGGCTGTATTAAAACCGTGCAGGCTGGAGGGGAAGGACTTTCATAGCGGCAGAAATTTGAATATTTCAGAATGCCCGGGCTCAGGAGGTGGCAAGAATGACCAGTATGTATTGATTGGTGGGTGTGGCCGCTTGTCAGTTACCTACGAAGTCCAGTGTAATCGAATCGATTATGAAATTTACATTTGGATTTAAATCTGTACGTCCCAGGTTAAATCTATTGCTTTTGAAGCGTTACTAATTACCGACTGAAGTTGTCTGGACACCTTTTAAAAGTTGTTTTGTATTTAGACAGGGTTTTGCTATGTAGTGCAGGTTGGCTTGGAACTTGCCAGGTAGACCAGGATGTCTTTGAATTTAAGATTCTCCTTCTTTTGACTCTCCAGCGCTGGGATTGTTGACATTGTTGAGTGTAGTAATAAGCAAACATTTAGCTGGGCAGTGGTGGCACAAGCCTTTAGTCTCCTTGATTCCAGCACTAGGGAGGCAGAGACAGGTGGATCTCTGGGAGTTCAAGGCCAGCCTGGTCTACAAGGTGAGTTCCAGGACAGGCTCCAAAGCTGCACCGAAAGAAACCCTGTCTGGGGGGTGGGGAAGCAAATATTTAATGAATACACTTAACACTCAGCTGTAGTATAGGCTTTGATGTGGGTATTTAAATAATGGTCTGTCTACTCATGACATGGTTCAGAAAATAAAGCACAGAAGGCAATAGAGAACTGTGCTAGTTTTCTGTGTGGTAGAGCTGTTTGGAAGGAATTAATAGAGATGATAGTTATGAAATTGAGGAAGGTTGTAGGAAATAGATTTTTTTGGTGAGATTAAAGTATTGCAGGGGTGTGCTTTGGCACACCATTCATTAATCCCTGTACTTGGGAGGCAGAGGCAGATGGATTTCTATGAGTTCGAGGTCAACTGGTCTACAAATTGAGTTCCAGGACAGCCAGGGCTGTTACACAGAAACCCTGTCTTGAAAAACCAAACTAAAACAGACACAAAAAAGTATTGAGGGGAGCATCAAACTTGCCCGTTATAATCTGATTCTGTAGTGTCTGTAAAGTGCTTCCTGCTACCTCTGAAGTCTTACTCCAGTCTGTGGGCTTATCAGCTGTTACTTTCCTCAGTTCCTCAGTGGAAGAAACCAAAGCTTAGCATGTTCTACTATCAACACAATGGTGAGGCAATGGGTGGGATGGTTTGATGATGAGGCTGTGTTTCAGAATGGAGACTGATAAGTTACTGGAGTAACTCAGTCTCATCAGTGGCCCAAGTGCCATTTAAGTAATTGGAGAGTGTGAGAGGTTGCTGAAATGGAACCTTATGTTACTTTATAATGAAGTCTTGCCACTTGATCTTCACAGTCTCTCTGAATTTGACTTGCCAGATCAACAAGGTTAAATTAAATGATGGGACAAGAACTTCACTAAGCTATTTCCTCATAGCTGGAACTCATGACTTCAGTTTTCTAATTCCAAATCTTTCTCTTCTGATATTTAACCATTCCATAGTAGGGTAGAAACTTCTGTTTTGGTTGTAGAAAGGTTTGGTGGAGAAAAGATTATATCCCCATAGCTGGCATTTGACCTTCTGGTGTAGTATATCTTATTTTAGCTTTAATGTAATTTGAGGGATTGGCTCTTGTTTTTTCTGATGAACTGATAGAGGTAGTGCATGTATTTACCCTGTAAGTGTAAAGCAATTACCTCTTAAAGATAGGTTGCAATGTGGTGACTATTCTTTTGGAGGTAGGGAGCAGGAGCAGAGGAAGGGGACAGATGGACCAAAGATTCCAAGATTCCAAATCTGGGTGACTGGAACAGTGACATTCATTAACTGCACTGTCACTTGGATTGGGAGGCGGGGATTAGTTTTTTGATTTTAGACAAGTTGAGTTTGAGATTGCAGACAAGTTCTGACTTATAAGCTGTTTCAATTGAGGAACTGGATCTTGCAGGAGACGGAGGGACTGTTGAGGTCTGAAAGAGAAGAGTCAAAAGAGGATAGTTGAGGAACAGTCACAGTGAAGGGCACTGGATTTCACTGAAGCCCAGGGAACAGTCTTTTTTGTTTGTTTGCTTTGTTTTCTTTTTCGAGATAGGGTTTCTCTGTGTAGCCCTGTTGGTCCTGGAACTTGCTCTGTAGACCAAGCTAGGCTGAAATTCACTGAGATCTGCCTGCCACTGAATCCCAATTGCTGGGACTAAAGGCGTGTGCCACCACTGCCCAGCTGGGACAGTCTTAAACATAGGTTTAAGAGTTTTTTGTTTGTCTTTACCCCCTTTCCCCACCCCGAGGTTGTTTTTCAACCATTAGCCTTGACCAAGAGACTTTTTTTTTCTTTTCAGTTTCTACTTTCAAACAAATATTTATTGTTCACTGGTTTGGACCCTGGGAAACAGACTTTTAAACTGATGTGAGTTTTTGGATTTTTTTTTTTTTAATTAAAATTTAGGACTGGAGAGATGGCTTAGAGGTTAAGAGCACTGACTGCTCTTCCAGAGGTCCTGAGTTCAATTCCCAGCAACCACATGGTGGCTCACAACCATTTATAATGAGATCTGGTACCCTCTTCTGGTGTGCAGATATACATGGAAGCAGAATGTTGTATGCATAATAAATAAATAAAATCTTTTATTTTCCAAGCCTTGACTGGCTTGGAATCCACTGTATAGACCAGGCTGACCTCAAACTCAGAAATCTGCTTGCCTCTGCCTCCAGAGTTCGGGATTAAAGGGATGTGCCACTATGCCCAGCCAACCAAGAAACTTTTAAAAAGTACATATTCTTAGCCAGATGTGGTGGCGCATGCCTTTAATACCAGCACTTGGGAGGCAGAGGCAGGTAGATCTCTGTGCGTTCAAGGCTAGCCTGGTCTACAGAATGAGTTCCAGGACAGCCAGGGCTAGCTAGTACACAGAGAAACCCTTTCAAACTATTAAAAAAAAAATACATTTTTTTGTTTGTTTGTTTTTTTGTTTTTTGTTTTTCGAGACAGGGTTTCTCTGTGGCTTTGGAGGCTGTCCTGGAACTAACTCTTGTAGACCAGGCTGGTCTCAAACTCACAGAGATCCGCCTTCCTCTGCCTCCCAAGTAAAAAATACCTATTCTTGAATATTTTCATTGGGTAGATCATAGTGAGTTTTTTTTTTTTTTAATTTTTGTAATTTACAGAAAGTCTTTGGCAAGAGGCTTGTAAGGTGGGTTCATTATTGATAAGGGAGTGATATTAATTATCAGATGAGTCACTTAGTACCCACACAGCATCATTTTTACTCATCTGCTGTTTTTTTTTTTTCCTCCTTCTTGTTCCTGATTCAGATCCTAAGATTCCTTCCTGTGACTTCTTCTCTTCAACTGTAATACCCAGCGTCTCTGAATATAGACAGAGAAAGTTTGGTTGTGTTTTTGTGGAACTTGTGAGCATCCTGTTGGAATTTTGGGGAGTGGAGTGTTGTTGTATGTGCTGTTTTTGTTTTTATTTTATTTTGGTCAGCTTAATACAAACCAAGGTGTCTCAGAAGGTGATAATTTCAGTTGAGGAAGTCTGCAGGGCATTTTTTTGATTAATGATGGATGTGGGAGGGCCCAACTCATTGTGGCAGTGTCATCCCTGGGCAGGAGCTTTTGGGCTATGTAATAAAGCAGGCTGAGCAGGTCAGTAGGTGTCATTACTACAATATCTACTTTAGTTTCTGTTTTGAGTTTCTGCTTTGACTTCACCTGATGAAGGACTGGAACCTCTAAACCAAGTAAACCCTTTCTTCTCCAAGTTCCTTTTTTTGATCATGATGTTTTCATCAAAGCAATAGAAAGCAAACCGATACAGTACTGTTGGTGTAAGGTATCTTACTTTCTAAGTTTTTTTTTTTTTTTTTTTTTTTTTTCTTTTTCAAGACAGGGTTTCTCTGTGTTACAGCCCCAGCTGTCCTGGAACTCACTGTGTAGACCAGGATGACCTCGAACTCATCCTCTACCTATCTAGATCTACCTACCTCTACCTCCCGAATGCTGGGATTAAAGGTGTATGCCACCACCGCCTAAGGTCTTTTTTGTTTTGTTTTTTGTTGTTGTTGTTGGCTTTTTTATAGACAGGGTTTCTCTGTGTAGCCCTGGCTGTCTTGGAACTCGCTCTGTAGACCAGGCTGGCTTCAAATTCAACAGAGATCCACCTGCCTCTGCCTTCCAAGTGCTGGGATTAAAGTCGTGTACCACCACCTCCTAGCTTCTTCTAAGGTCTTATAACAGGAGTGAAGTTTGTGAAAATTTTGTTCTGTTCCATTATTAGAAAATATTAAGAAAAAAGTAGTTTTGTTTGACATGTCAGTCTGTACAGTTGATAACTCCTGGAATCCAGTGTAAGAATCACTGCTTAGTGGAAGTCTTTGTAAGGAGAATCAGGAAAGCACCTGTATCTTATTCCTCTTGTAAACTGTTGGAAAAGCTTAGGCAAGTAGTTCACTTTGTCCTCTGAGATGGCTTATTGAAGGTCATGGACATCTTATTCTAGGCTAGGACTCTGACTTGAGCAAGGTGAGTACTGTGAACATATGGCAGCTGGAGCTCTGGAGTGGCCTGAGAAGTAGGTGGGGCAGAGGGCAGGCGGAAGAGGCTCAGCTCAGCATGCAGAGTTTGAAAGGCTTCAGGAAGAATGAATACTCAGGCCTTGGTTTAGAGCAGCCTGTGGTAGCAGTCTGAGGTTATGGGAGAAGACTCCTATGTGCCCACTTTTGTTTTTCAGTTGAAGATTTGAGGTATTAGAGATAGAGTGGTTTTGAGCACAAAGGACTCAGATACTTGTTAGCATGGATGCTGGAGAGAAGCTAGTCAAACCAGTGGTTACTTGTGGAGTAGAAATGATTTTGGGCTTGTCTGTAGGTGTTTTGTTCTGTTTTTGGAGACAGGATCTGACTGTATACCCATGGCTGGCACTTGCTGTGTATCAATTACTATTTATATCAGGCTGGCCTAGCACTGTCAGAGATTCACCTACCTCTGCCTTCTGGGTGCTGGGATTAAGGGCATGTGCTAGCATGCCTGGCCTTTGTTTCCAGTTTTCACCTTTTAGGGTTTTATTTTATTTTATTTCTGGTTATATTGCCTTTTACTGTTTGTTGTATCCTGTATAATTTTTCACTGTCTCCTTTCACTGACAGGCCATGATAGGTTACTTAACCTGTCTGAACCCAATTTTTCCTCATTTTAGGATGTTGGTGATCTTTTTCACAGGTTTTTTTGTGAGAGTTTTGAGACTGTTTGTAGAAGCACAAAGAATAGTTTGTACATCAGCACCTGTCTTTAGTTTTGTCTTCTAAGCAGTGCTCAGACACTGCTAGTGAATGCTTATAGTGTCTTAGCCCTTTGGAATTGGTCATTCCCACCCATGTCCCAGGCCATTCTCACAACTTTTCTACCTCTGCCTCATGCAGGACTTGCTTTTTCTTGGTGATTCTACTCCTTGGAGCTGTGGTGATTCCTCTAGTGGCCCTTATGGAAGACATACTCCTTTTTTACAGACCAACTGAGAACCTGATCCTCCTCCTATAGATTTCTTACTTCAGAAATATTCCTTCCCACCACAGTCTGTAACAGGGCATCAGGGTTCCATATAGAAGTTCTGTTTGTGTGAATCTGTACTTGTGTAGTGCTGAGGATGGAACTCATTGACTAAGCAAGCATTCTGTTACTGATCTACATCCCCAACCCTTTAGATGTAACTGTTTAATGGTCCCAGCACTTTCATGGATGTGACTATGTACCAGAAAAGTTAAAGGAGGACTACATACCAAAGGAGGACTATTCAGGCCCTGATCTTGGGAAAAGTCCTGCTAGAAGTCCCAGGTGATCAGAATGAGTTTGCATTCCTTGCACACTGTAGGCCCAGAGCGGGTGTTTATGGAATCAAGTGCCCACTCCTATATCCCCTCAGCTGTCATTTCGGAAAGGGTAGCAGTAGTCTGGTAAGCCTGAGTGCATTTTGTAGGTTGAAGTTCAGTTACATCTTCCTCCCTCCCTTCCTCCCTCCTTCCCTCCTTCCCTCCCTCCTTCCCTCCCTTCCTCCCTCCCTCCTTTCTTTTTGAGATGGGGTTTCTCTGTGTAGCCCTGGCTGTCCTAGAACTCACTCTGTAGATTCTGTAGATCAGGTTGGCCTCTAACTCACAGAGATCCACCTGCCTCTGCCTCCCGAGTGCTGGGACTAAAGGCGTGCACCACTACTGCCTGGCTTTTTTTTTTTTTTTTTTTTTTTTTTTCTTTTTTCTTTTACTTTTTAAGCCTGAATCTCTGGTACCTTCATGAATCCACATTACCAGGATAGTGTGTTCTTCACACTGCTGGCAAGGTTGGTAAAAGTAATGACAACTATACCTGTTTAGTGTTGCATCCTCTAGGTTTGCAAGTTTCGTTAACTTAGAGTTGTTTTTGATTTTGTTAATTTTGGAACCTTATGGAGAAGGAGCAGTTCCTACCAGCTTTTGGTGAAGTTGCAGAACATTTCCATTTTGCTTTGGTTTACTGCTAATTCTGTTCTTAGTAGATTTTGTTATATTTCTGTTTGATGTATGGTCTAATGGGGGCAGGTGAACTGATTGTTGGATTGATGCTTCATCTTTAGGTCTTTAAAACATTTGATCACATGGCTCGCCAGGATGATGAGAAAAGGAAGAAGGAACTTGAAGAGAAAATCAGAAAAAAGGAAGAAGAGGCCAAGGCTGTGGCAGCTGCTGCAGCTGAGAAGGAAGCCGTGCCAGTTCCAGTGCAGGAGGTAGAGATTGATGCTACTGCAGAATTGAGCGGGCCTCGGGAAGTAGAAAAGTTGGAGTCCCCAGGCCCACAGGGCCCTGACCACAAGGTGGCCCATGGCTTGGAGGAGGCAGAAGCTCCAGGAACTGTTAGCAGTGCTGCTGAAGGCCCTAAGGAACCCCCAGTGCTCCCCAGGTAGGAGCGGCTCTTCTGCAGTGTCCTCCTTTCTCTGCCGTGGTTAAGTTTGCCTATGATTGGTTTTTGCTTTGTGTGGTTTGTAAGATAACAGTTATGTCTTGGTGGGATGGTGGTTAAATAACAGAAATTTACTTTCTAATAGTTCTGGAGGCTAGAAATCCACAATTAAAGTATTGTCTGGATTGTTTGTTCTAAGGCCTCTATCAGTGGCTTGCAGACAGCCTTCTTCTTGTGTCTTCATATGTTTTCACCTTCCTCTGTGCTTGCCTGTATCTTAATCTCCTGTTTTCAAGCTGCATCCGACACCCTAGTGACAGATTGCCTTCTATCCAAGTGCTTCAAGGACCTTCTCAAGTTGTTAAGCTAAGTGGCAGGCACCTTTACCTGTTAAGCCATCTTGGCAGCCACCTAAAATGTAATTTTAATAGGCTCTGAATCATTCCTAGAGCAAATGTTGACTTGTTTGGAAAATTTCTGGGAAAGAGTTTTTCTGTCATGGAACTTTGTAAATTAGCACCTGACTTATGGAGTTGTGGATACCATATGAGTCTTCATTTAGAACCACGTGTCTGATGCTGCTGGCTCCTCCTCAGCTGCCCAGTCATTGCACTACAGTGTCACCTTCCAGCTCCAGGTTCAACACTACTTCTTTACCTCAGCATTTATTTTGCTTTCTCTGTTTGCAACCTGCACAACAGTGCTTTAGTTGCATATTTGGGTGCTTTAGTCTTCTTGCTTTTCCACTGTTTGAGACAAATTAATGATCTGTTCACAGTCATGCAGCCAGTTGAGGGTCAGAGCCAGAATTAGAGCATTTATTGCCTACTAAAGCCCTTACTGTATCTGTGTGTAGGCTGAGCCACAGCATCTTGATTTTGGTTTGAATCAGTATTGAGCATTCAGCTTAGGGCCTCACATTTGCTAGGCAGATCCTCCACTACTGAGGAACATCCTCAGATCTTGATTCTTAATGTTTTTCTCCCTTCAAGGACTGATGTATATCTGAAGAATAGCTTAATGTAGGGCCTCAATTCACAACCTGCCCTGCTACTTTCTAAACATATTATTTTGGGCAAGCAATGTCACTTCTCATGATCTACTGTTATTATTATTTTTAATTTTATGTGTATGGGTGCTTTGCCTGCATGTATGACTGTTTGCTACATGCATGTCAATGCCTGTGGAAGCTGGACAAGGGTGTTAGTTACATTTGGAAACTGCCGTGTGATTTCTGGGAATTGAACTCAGGTTCTCTGGAACAGTAGCCATTGCTCTTAACTACTGAACCATCATCTCTCTAGTTCACTTCTCTATGAGATTCTTTAAACCTATCTTGTAGAGCTTTTGTGAATTTTAAATGAGCTAAGAGTTAGGCAGCTAACCAATGACAGAGCTTGAGTATAAAGCATTTGTCTCCATCACGCCTCATGGTGTGCCTTTCACTTTCCAGGGGTTGAGTGCACCTAGCCCTTCCCAGTGAGAAGAGTGGGTCCTCCTTGTGAAGCTTGTGGCAGTGTCTGCTGGTCAGCTGCGATCTTGCTGGCTTGTCTCTTTTCTAGATGAATCTACTTTTCCTTTTTTGACAGGACTGCTTCTTTCATCTCCAGCTTCTGTTCTATCTTACTCCTTGTACTCTAACCTGGTTTTGGAGTGTGAGTTTAGTTTCCATTTAGTGAAGCAAACAACTTGGAATGGCTTATTACTGAGTAGGTAAAAGTCAGTTTTGTAAAGATACTAAATAAGGAGTTTAGAGGAAACAATTGTTGGATGTGTGAACAAGTTGATGGAGAAAGGGAAGCTGGTCTTGCATATGGAGTTCTGAAAGAAAAGGACGGTGATAAAGGTTTGAAATCCAAAATTGGAGGAGGAAATCTGATACTTCCTTTTAGTTTGTTGTTGTTGTATTGTTTGTTTTTTTCTGTAGCCTAGGCTGACCTCAAGTTTTTCATGTAGTCCAGGCTGGCTTTGAATCCACAATCTTCCAGCCCCAGGCTTCTGAGTGCTGGGATTATAGTCATAAGCTTCCATATGAAACAGCCCTTAAGAACTCTTTCCTCCATACTCCATAGAGATGGCCTCATCCCTCACCATGGGTGTGAGAGAGCTGGCTCTGGTGCCATGGGCCTAGGAGAGCTGGCTCTGGCCCTGCCCCACTGGCCTGGACTGACCAAATCAGCTATCACCCAAGCCCATATCCAGGGCTTTGAATTTTCCCACCCCACCATCTATGCTGTCTGTGACCTGTTTGAGTGTGAAGGTACTGGACCTGGGGGCTGGAGAGATGGCTCAGGGGTTAAGAGTGCTGCCTGCTCTTCCAGAGGTCCTGAGTTCAATTCCCAGCACCCACATGGTGACTCACAACAATCTATAATAGGATCAGATGTCCTCTTCTGTCATGCAGGAACCCATGCAAGTAGAACATAAATAAATAAATCTTTAAAAGAAAAAAAAAAAAAGTAAGTACTGGTCCTGTGGAACCCTAATCGCAGGAACTCCATGACTAGGGGCAACAGCAGTATATCTGAGAGAAGTTTCTGTGAGGGTCCAGCATTGATTGTGTACCAGAAGCCAGGGACCTTGACAAGACCAACAACTCATTGCAAAAACATTTCAAGTAAAGTTGAGTGGATGAAAGGGTGTACTGTGCTACATACCACAGCTTCCAGTGCCACAAAGATGAATGAAGAGATGTTGGGGAGGCAGGAAAGATGGAGGAGCAAAATAGTTTTTGTTTGTTTGCTTGTTTTTAATTAATATTTTTAAAATTTTCTTTTTAGGGAGATACTAATGGGGGTAAGAGGCAGATATGGAGGACTAGGAAATGAGTGGAATTGGGGTGTATGATGTGAAAGTTCCCAAAGAATAAAAAAAATTTGTTTAAGAAAAAAAGATATACAATTCTTTTTTTTTTTAAATGATGTATTTTGGGGCCGGAGAGATGGCTCAGGGGTTAAGAGCACTGACTGCTCTTAAGAGGTCCTGAGTTCAAGTCCCAGCAACCATATGGTGGCTCACAAACATCTGTAATGAGATCTGATGCAGGCAGAACATTGTATACATAATAAATAAAATGTTTTAAAAAATGATGTATTTTAATTTTATGTGCTTTGGTGTTTTGCCTGCATATGTGTCAATGTAAAGGTGTTGGATCTCCTGGAACTGGAGTTATAGACAGTTGTGAGCTGCCATGTGGATGCTGGAAATTGAATCGGGTCCTCTGGAAGAGGGGCCAGTGCTGAGCCATCTTCCCAGCCCCTCTTGAGAACTTTTTTATTTCCGGCAAATCTACTGGTGATGAATTTTCTTTTTATTTTGGGTATTTTCCTGCTTCTTTACATGCCTGGTAACTTTTGATTGGATATTAGACATGATTGTTGTGTTGTTATTGCTGTATTTCCTTTTCTCCTTTTAAAGAGTGTTGAGTTTTGTTCTTGAAGGCATTTTTCCTCCCTTCAGGTTAGCATGACTTTCAGAAGCTCAGTATGTGTGTGGGTGGAGAAGATTAAAATGTACCTTTAGACTGTGTGTGGTGGGGCATACCTTTAATCTCAGTACTTAGAAGCAGAGGCAGGTGGATCTCTGTACGTTCAAGGCCAGCCTGATTTCCTGATCTACATAGTGAAATCCAGGACAGCCAGAACTACATAATGAGACCCTGTCTCAAACAACAACAAAAAGATGTACCTTTAGGACCTTTTATTCTAGGGCTTGTTTATCTTAACACTTGCTGTTTTGGGTCTATCTTCTCAATATTGGGGGATTCAGTTATTCGGAAAAGTTTCCTCATGTGTCTATAGCTAACACTTAGAGGTAGAGGCAGGAAGATCACTTAAGTTTGATGCTAGCCTAATTTACATAAAGAGTATAAGGCCAGCCTGGGCTACAAGAGTGAGAACTGCCTCATAAATGAAACAAAAAAATATCTTACATTGTTATTACATGCAACAAAACATGGTTTGCCTGTCTGTTTATAAAGTGATCTTGAAGATTGCTGATGTTGTATTATGAGAGTCAGTTTTTTTTTTTTTTTTATTTTTTAGTCAGTGAAGATTTACATTGGCTTCAGAGACCAACGTTTTTACTTGCGGCTTAGGTTAGACTTCTACTGTCCTGACATTCAATGCTTAGTACTGCAGCATCTTATCCTTCAGTTGTTCAGACAGTGGATAAATTAATTACAAGTTGAGGCATAGTCTGTAGCTGCAGCTGAAACTATTTCTGCACATCTGAAAATGGGATGTCAAAGGCTGCCTGTCCTTTTCCTTGTTCCACCTGGAGCTGGATCCTAAGTTCCTCCACCAATTTACTTATCTATGGTAGATGTGAAGATTTGTCATTTTGTCAGTTAAATAATTGAAGAGTCTTCAGGGGACCACACCAAGGTCCCCTTCTGATTCCATAGACAGTTTTCCCAGGACCTGAGATTTTGACTACTGATTCCTTTTTTTATTTTTATTTTTTTATGTTTTTTGTTTTTCCTTTACCCCCTTGGTTTTTAGATAGGTCTTAGTCTAGAGTGATCTTGAACTCTTGACTTTTTCCACCTCCTAAATGCTGGGTTTGCAGGTGTGTGTTCCAATGTCTGGCTTTGTTTGCTCTTTCTTCACACACCCTGTTTTTTATTGCTGTTTCTGATGACCTGTATTAGACATTTGCTGCTGTTCTGTACAGATTTGACAGATACTCCCTCTCTGATTCAGTAAAGCCCCATGACGTGCTTATTTAACAAAATTTGGCATAAGTGCTGGGGGAAAGACAGGATAATAAATAACGTATTTATAGTTGGTATATGCATTTTTATTTTAAGCTGTTTTGGGAGTTTTTGTTGTTGTTTCTGGTTTTGTTCATTTGTTTTTTGAGAAAAACTCATTATGTAGATCAGCTGGTCTCAACTCAAAAAGATCTGTTTGCCTCTGCCTCTCCCTGCTGTGGTTAAAGGTGTGTGCCTCTATGCCTGGCTATTAAACTTCCATGTTTTTGTGTGTATTTAACAGTTC